GGTGGTGCACACCTTTAATCCCAGCACTCGGGAGACAGAAGCAGGTGGATCTCTGTGAGTTCGAGGCCAGCCTGGTCTACAGAGCAAGTTCCAGGACAGCCTCCAAAACAATACAGAGAAACCCTGTCTCGAAAAAAAAAAAAAAAAAAAAAAAAAACTTAGATGAATCACTAGGGACTTTCCCAGATAGACTAATTGATTAAACTGGTTTGTGAGCCAAGTGATTGTAATATTTTAATTTCTGGAAAGTATTTGATTGGTGTCTTTCATGGTATTCTTAAATGAAACACAAGCAGCTAATTGGTGTTAAAACTGGATGAATGATTGTGTCCCTAAAGATAACAAGCTAGAAGGATTTCTGACTTCATTCCTATGAAAACTCTAGGCCTTTTTATGTTTTATTTTTAGTATTTTGCATGTGTAGGTGTTTTGTCTTCATGTATATATGTAAGGCAGTACGTGTGTACAGTGCCCGCAGAGGCCAGAAGAGGGGTGGGTCCTCTGGAACTGGAGCCACAGATGCTTATGAGCCTCCATGTGGGTGCCAGGCACCAAATCTAGGTCCCCTGGAGGATCAGCCGGTGCTTGTAACTGCTGGGCTCTGTCTTGAGCTGCTGCGATGAGCCTTCTTAAAAGTAACTGATATCCAAGCCTGGCAACCCATGCCTGTATTTTCAGCACTAAGAATATTGAGACTGGAGAATCACCACAGGTTTGACACCAACCTGAACTACATACAAAGTTCTTAGCCAGCCTGGGCTACTGGAGGAGACCTATCAAAAAATAAAAATAAAGGAGCTGGCATAAGAAGTTATTAGAATTCTTATGGTTAAAGCTTTACTTTTATCACCTAGCATGATAGTGTACATCTGTAACCCCAGCCCTCAGGACATGAGGCAGTAGAATCGTGTTAAGTTCAAGGGCAGCTTAGGAAGTAAAATCATGTTTCAGAATATCAATAAAAATTCTTTAGTGGAATTTGTTTGGTTTGGGTTTTGGGAATAGGATGTGTTTTGGATGTTTTTGTTGTTGCTGTTTGTTTTGAAACTTTTCATGCTGTACCTAGATTGGCCTTGAAGTTGCAGTGATCTTACTGCCTCAGCCTTTCAAGTGCTAGGATTACAGACCTGAACCACCATGTCAACTGAAAGTTAAATCTAATAAGATAAAATTTTAGACCATGTCTCAAAACAAAATCCTATCTAGCTACAAAGAAGAGAATATATAAATATGGGATCAAGGAAGTATTTTATAGAAGCAATTCAAGAAATTTTTGTTTGTTTGTTTTTCGAGACAGGATTTCTCTGTATTGTTTTGGAGGCTGTGCTGGAACTCACTCTGTAGACCAGGCTGGCCTCGAACTCACAGAGATCTGTCTGCCTCTGCCTTCCAAGTGCTGGGATTAAAGGCGTACACCACCAATGCTCGGCTAAGAAAAATTATTGTAGGGTTGTAATTAATACAGTCTTATAGGGTTCCTAGAATTAATAGGCTCTTGATTATAAATTTTATGCCTGCCACAAGGGAGATAAAGATGAGAATCTCAGCCTAGTTTGTGTTGGTCAGATCAAGTTTGGCACATCATCTTAGGCTCTTCAAAGAATGTTGAAAGGGTAAATCTTGTGTAAGATTTTGAAAGATGCAGAACAAAGACAGATTTTACCAAGTGCTTTTACAGCTGTATGAATAGACTCTGTAAACACACACTTTCTCCAAGGAAGGAGACTGACAAGAAAATGTTGTCAAGAGAGAGTAGTATTTATTTAATTGATAGCATGTTTGCTTTTTCCTAGTGCTGCGTGCACGTGTGTGCACACACACACAGAGCTGTAATGCTCTCCTAACATTAAAAAAGTAGAAAGGAGATGTCACCAAGATTGTTTAGTGGATAAAGGCACTTGCCACCAATCTGACCACTTGAGTTCAATGCTTGGTACCAACATAGTGGAAGAAGAGAACTGACTCCCTTAAGCTGACCTCTGAACTCCATACACACAGTGTTGGGCACATATACATATTATAGTTTAATGTTTTTAGAAGATAGGAAGGAAGGAAATCCATGTTAGTTATCTTAACATAGTTAAATAATGGATGCACTTCTGCATCATGTCTGAGTATAGTTTATTTAGTGTTGCTCCCTTCCTTACTCCCAGGCAACTATGTACTTACTGACATCTTCCATTATGATTAGTCCAAGCTTAGTAAACTATGTTTATTAATAATTTATATAGAGGCCGGGCGTTGGTGGCGCACGCCTTTAATCCCAGCACTCGGGAGGCAGAGGCAGGCGGATCTCTGTGAGTTCGAGACCAGCCTGGACTACCAAGCGAGTTCCAGGACAGCCTCCAAAGCCACAGAGAAACCCTGTCTCGGAAAACCAAAAAAAAAATAATAATAATAATAACAATTTATATAGAACTGCTTAGTGCAGTAATTACTTTGAAGTATTGTATGGTGTAGGTTTGGGGTATGATACTCACCCCATTTTTCTAGCAGGGCAAAGAGTTCCTTTTCCTTCCAGCCTTCCATTATACAGACCTGTTCTACTTTTTTTGTAACTTTGGTTACACTAGATAAAACTACACTAGAAAACACTAGATAAAAATTAGGGAAGCAGTTTGCACTTTAAAGAATTAAACAATCAACTTGAAGCAGCTGTTATAACTTTGGACACTGCTAGGTTTACCCTGTCTAGCTTTTAGTAACCAGTATGTCACTAGTTAACAATCAGATGTATCTTGATCAAAACTACCGAGTTCCTGACCCTAAAATGTTCTCTCTTCAACCCTCAGTTAAATTTTATGTACTTTTTTCTTGCTGTGTTTCTTTCAGTCAGATTTCTGGAAGTGATTAGTGCTATCCATCAACAATACCTTTTCCTTTCCTTCTCTTCTTCACGTCTCCATGTTTTTGTATGGACCTCTCATTTATTATTGGGGTGGTTGGCCTATGACCCCCTCCTCAGCCTCTCTCTGACAGGATACTGATGCAGACCAAGTCTCGTGCAAATGCTGTGAAGATAATCAGCCAAGTCATGCCCTGAGATGAGTGTCCACACCAGTCTGCTCCGTTCTCCAGACCTCCGGTTCTCTTTGCCCTTTCTTCCTTGGTGGAGAGGATAGAGATACCCTGTTTGTGGCTGAACACCAACAGTCACTCTCAGCACAGTGACCAGTTATGAGTCTGCAGTTAGTCACCACTGATCACTACATTCTGAGCAAAGCAAACATCGACTTTTCTCTCTGGCCATAAGCAATTACTTAGAAAGCAATTTAATGAACATATCGTGTCCATTTAGAAAAACCACAGCAGTAGCTTTCAGACTAGAAGGCCAATATTTTTGCTAGGCATGGTGGCTTGAGTCTATAATTCCAGCCCTTGGGAAGTGGAGGCAATATTGCTATGAGTTTAAAGTCAACTTGAGCTGAAGAGAAAGACCCTGCCTCAAAAGGAGGAATGTGTTAGCTTCCAGATGTTTTTGGAAATTCACTGTGAACCAGCACTCTCGTTGCTCCGTCTCCTTTTTCTCCTCCTTTGAGATCTTGCCATCCTACAGAAAGCTCTTTCCTGGGATGACTTTGTCGTCACCTGTTCTTATCTTTCTGTGGCTTTGCAAATGTTACAAAGCAGAGTTAGCAAGGCCACAGTTAAGAGTACTTTGTTCCTCCTCCAGAGGACGCAAGTTGAGTTCCCAAACCCACATTGGGCAGCTCATAACTCCCTACTGTAACTGTAGTCCCAGGGAATCCAGGACCCTCTTTAGGCCTTCACAGGCACCTGCATGGGTGTGGCTGGCAGGGAGACATACATACATATACATAAATAAGAAAATAAGCCTTTAAAAGTTTTTAAAGCAGATGAGACCCATAATTGACCTCTTCTTTTCTCTTGCTATAAAAATAGTGATAATGACATAGCAGAAGCCCAGAGTCCTGACAAGATCATTTTCAATTGTAGAGAATGTTGTGAAGGAGATAGCATGAAGTGAGGGAGTAATGATAAGTCTATTTTTAATAGTACTCATGTATGACTTTGATTTTAAGTTAGGACTTAATGTGGTCACTGTTAGATTTCAGAAGTCCTTTATATCTATTTTCTCCAGTAATAAGACATAATTTGCACCTATTGTGCATGTATTCAATGCTTCACACCTGCCAGGCCCTGTTCTATGCTTTGGAAATAAATAAAAATAAAACCTAAAGCTAAAGTCGTTTTTAAGGATAATTTAGGGTAACTGAGGATAGGTGACTTACAGACTATAAAATAATATGCTGGTGGGTGTGGTGGCACACACCTTTAATCCCAGCACTTAGGAGGCACAAGCAGGCCAATCTCTGTGAGTTCAAGGCCAGCCTGGTCTATGTAGTAAGTTCCAGGACTACATATCCAGAGCTACATAGCGAGAACCTTGTCTCTAAAAGACAATAATAATAACAACAATAATATCATACCTCCTTTAACATTAGTTGTCTTCACTAAACTTTCATAGGCTAGTGGAATTTCATGAAAAAACAAAGCAAAACAAAGATCAAGCTATTGCGTTGATTACTACATAATTGAACAATGAAAGATCACTTTCCATCGGATCCTTTGTTAAAAATAATAATGTTCATCTTAGTATGAATAGGTGGAAAATAGGAAGGAAGCTGATTTGGGTACAGATACAGGAGGGAAACATTAAAAGAGATGGGATTAAATACCAAGGTGTATTTCAAGGGACATAGATAAATAGGCTTGACTGAGTGAAAGGTTTGTATTTGTAACTAGTAAAAGATATGCAGAGTCCTCATGCAACAGGATTTGGGCTGTATATAATAGTGGTATATTTCTATAATCCTAAATTTACAATCAGTTATTATGTAAAGAGGTTATCACAATATACCAATTTCAATTGTACCATTACTCTTAAGCCTTTACACCCCTAAATATGTTCTGTAGATTCTGAGGCCAGAGTCCTACTCACAGTCTTACTCAGGTTAAAATGATGTTTTGTTTTTCAGTTACTTACACGCCAAGTCAATCATCCACAGAGACCTCAAGAGTAATAGTATCCTTCCTGAAACTGGTCTGCGAAGTCTGAAAGCATCCCGACTTTTTCTTCTGCGTTTTGTCTTCATGTTATGTAAAAACAGTTTCATGCTAAGTGTAATATGCTATAAAGAAAATGAATCGATTTGCATGAGAGTAAAATAGGGCAGGATTCAAGCTGATGGCATTTCTGTATGACTGGACACTGTAGGACATCTTCATTATAATAGGACTTTTTGTCTTGCTTGCTTACATTTTATGTGCCCTATAAAGTGGATATTTTGTGGTTACTGTCTTAATTCATCTAATCTTGCTGAGTAGTAACTGAGATATGAAACTGAAGGTTCAAAATTATGTAACAGTGACATGAGGAAAACAATTTTTCTTTTTTTCTCTGAGTCTAGACAGATCCCTTCTGATACCATCCGTATTCTAACAAAGAACCTGTATAACTTTCCCAGCAGTGTTAAAGGATATCTGGGCCAACTTAAATTAGAAAGTTTCCAGATCTCCCGTAGGCTTAGAAAAGCACCTTAACCTTGTGCTCACATATTTCGAGCCTGAGAAATCTCAAAAGCAGGTCATAAAAGCTAAAGACAACTAATTCTTGTTTAAAGCATGTTTGATGACTTTAGGGAGAATTATGAATTACTATATTTTAAAAAGAAAATCTTACTACAGAGTTACAGAAACTTGCTCGTTACCTGAAATCTTCAAAACACTCTCTCTAGTAGGAAAATGAGATCTATTTTTTTCCTTTACTTACTACACCTCAGATATATTTCTTCATGAAGACCTCACGGTAAAAATAGGTGATTTTGGTCTAGCCACAGTGAAATCTCGATGGAGTGGGTCCCATCAGTTTGAACAGTTGTCTGGATCTATTTTGTGGATGGTAAGAATTGAGGCTATTTCTAAATTGATCACGTTTTTTAATCTTGAACTTGTGACTAGTTACTAGAAGGTCACTGAAGATCTTAACTACAGTATTTTTATAGTTCCCATTATTCACAAAAATCAATATAGTAAGTCAGGCAGAAGCACTCAGGAGGCAGAGGCAGGTGGATATCCGTGAGTTTGAGACCAGCCTGGTCTACATAGTTCCAGGACAGACAAAGCTACATAATGGGACTTTGTCTCCCAAAAAATAAAATAAAATAAAATAAAACCATATTCTTATTTTTATATAGTCTTTAACCTTTTTTCTTGTCTTAAAAAAAGTATTTCTAAACTAGTTGTAGTATATTCTAAACAAAATTCATATATGTTTAATGTTATTGAAAATTGTTTAAAATACTTTGTCTGGTTTGGTGGTGCACACCTTTAGTCCCAATGCTCAGGAGGTAGAGGCAGGTGGATCTCTGTGAGTTCAAGGCTGGCAAGAGTTAGGTGAGACCCTGTCTAAAAATAAAAAAAGAAAACAACTTTATGTTCAAATGATCAGTGTGCCCTGCTTTTTTTGCGGGGGGGGGGGGTGCTGCAGTTTAAAGCACGTCTTAAGAGACCTATTCTTAACAGAAAGGCTGCTTCACACTTTTATTTGAGCCTAAATTGGAAATAGACCTTCTTTGCACTAGAAAGAACTTTATAATTATGGGACAGTTGGAAGAGGAAAGACAAAAGAAAAAGACAAGGGGATATTTTTAGTCAGCTTTGTGCTGTCTGCACGGGTCTGTCTGCTTGTTTCTGCTTTGTAGAGAAGAGGCTGTAGAAGCTGGGAACGCAGCTACTGCCGCAGGCTGTGACTCATCTCAGGGAACCCTGCTGTTGACCCACAGTGGTTCCATGTGACCTTTCAGAAGGTCCCTAAGTTCTTTCTTTTGTGAAACCAGTTTTCCTCCTGTCCTTCAATCACAATGACACACTGCAGCTGGCTGAATGTACAAGCACACAATAGATTCCAGCTAGCTGCTGTTAAGCCAGACTCTAGAAAGAGTTGTAACTCTATTGTCACTAAACTTTGATTTTGAAAATGTAGTTAGTTTTCATTAATAATCAGTTGAGTTTTAATATCTTAAATATTCACAGAGGTATGCTCTGTAGGACCTTTGTAATATTTTTTTAATATTTATTATGTATATAGTGTTCTGCCTGCATGTATGCCTGCAGGCCAGAAGAGGGCGCCAGATCTCATTACAGATGGTTGTGAGCCACCATGTGGTTGCTGGGAATCGAACTCAGGACCTCTGAAAGAACAGCCAAAGCTGTTAACTACTGAGCCATCTCTCCAACCCGACCTTTGATAATATTTGAATAAAAACATTCCTGAGTCCAAAGAGTTTTGAAACATCAGCTCGTGGAATACAGGTGTTCTAAATATCTTTGTGTAGATTTATTCTAAGAGTAAATTAATCTGCCCTAATACTTTTGGGTCACCTTCTTAGAAACAAAAATCAGGAGGACTTTCAAAGCCATATTTGCCTAAATTCCCAGAACAACATGTAGCAGTCTTGAAGAAGCAGATTCTCCAAAGTAGTAGAGATGAGCCCAGGGTTACATTGAGTTGTGTTCTTGGATCAGTAATGAAGTTACAAGTAGAAAAGTGCAAACTGTGCTCTGGCCAGTAACTTCAGTTTCCTAACCAGCCTTGAGTCTCTTCATCTGAAATGTTAGATCAGACCCTTTCTTAGATTCCATATTACAGTTAGCTAAGTTTATTTGTAAAAGTCTTTGATATGTGCCTAACTTTTAGTTTATTAGAAGAGACTATTTGATGGTTGGGTCCTGGCTTTCAGGCTCCTTTAAGGCACCGAGGAGAAGGGGGGGGAGCATTTTTGCTTCTGAAATTATACGAGCAAAAATTTAAAACAGATCACTCACATGCTTCAACAATGCATGTATTTTAACAAGAGTCGTCCTAGGTCCAGTCTCTAGGTTTGTTCTTTATCATAAGCCTTAGTTTATATATTTATATAAGATGTTTCTATTTAATTTTTGTTGATAACCTGGATCAATGAGTGTATCTTTTATTCTACCATGCTGAATTTTAAGAGAGCAAGAATAGCCAACAATGCACTTCATTGTTGAATAAATCTTTCCAGTTGGTACCTGCCTTCAGAAGAAAAAAAACTATATATATATATATATATATATATATATATATATATATATATATATGGAACTTGTTCAGTCCTTAAGAGCTTTGGCTATTCTTTCAGAGGACTTGGGTTTAATTCCTAGCACCCACATAGCAACTCACAACTCTCTGTAAACTCCAATTCCAGGGCATCTGGTTTGTTTCATACTAAAATAGCAGCTGTCAACAAAATGTATGGCAACAACAAATAGAGAAAACATTCTCCTCCAGCGCTGTCCTTTGACTCTCTTCAGGTTTTCCCGCAGATCTTCGTTAGTGTTTCTTAACATTTGGTGGACAGCAGACTCATGTGGAAGCTTAGTTAGTAAAGCAAGGGTCCCACGTGGAGGCTGTGATGCTCTATATTGGGCTCGAGTGTAGTCAGCACTGAGCAGGCTCCACAGGTAGTTCTAACTTGCTGCTATAGTTGAGTGCTGTTATTCTTCAGGAGACTTGCCTTGCCAAGACCAGTAACTTTGTCCTCCAGCTATTTTTGCAAAATTTCATTAATACTATTTACCACTTCAATTCCTTTCTAACAACACCGCATAAAAGATGCAAAATGAAAGAAGAAACCCACTATTTCTTCACCTATGATTGTGTTTCATATAATAAGAAACTGAGTCATACAGTCGAATGATTAAATTATGTTAAAATTTAGTAAATATGAGCTGGTCTTTATTTGCCCGAGAAGCAACAACTAAAAATTTCTTTGTACAATTTTCTAAAAAGTCAACCTGTTGTGTGTTACTCCTGTTAGTAAAGCTTTTTTGCTTTGGTTTCTTGAGACAGGGTTTCTCTGTGTAACAGTCCTGGAATTCACTCTGTAGACCAGGCTGGCCTTGAACTCACAGAGATCCTCCTGCCTCTGCCTCCCAAGTGCCAGGGTTAAAGGCATGCACCACCACTAGCATTTTTTACACCACACATTTATGATGTAACTTGGAAGGACACTAGTTGCTTGTGCCTACTCCTAAGCTTTTTATACGTGCAAATCTAGTATTTCTTTGCTAATCAAAAGTAGGAAGTGGAGACTAACTCTGATAGGATAGTCTTGAGAAATGGTCAGATGGCAGCAATGGTGTTTATTCATAAAGAGGATTGCTGTTAAAATTATAAAATTTTAGTAACACCTCAAGGAAATTCGGCTCTGAAACCACCTTTCAGAAATTATAAAGCAAGGTTTTTCTCCATTGTTCTTAGTTGGTTTTGTTTCTTTGACCATTCATAGGAGAATGACATAGTAGATGATTTCTTTAAATAAGGTGTTGCTCTAGTTATTATCATAGTTTGTATTTCAGTCTTTATTCAGCAACTTAAGGATAAATGAGAATTTTTCTTCCTTATCTAACAGGCACCAGAAGTAATCAGAATGCAAGATAAAAACCCATATAGCTTTCAGTCAGATGTGTATGCATTTGGGATTGTTCTGTACGAACTAATGACTGGCCAGCTACCCTATTCAAACATCAACAACAGGGATCAGGTAAATATGTATCATCTCTGGGGGTTATTTTAGTATTTCTCTTAAGGCTCTTGGTCTTTGTAATCAGCTTTAGGAAATGTTTGTGTGCTTTTGACAGTTTTGAGGCTTTTGCTTGGAATGTTGCTCATAAATGTTACAATGGAGTGAAATCTCCAATTTTGTGACTAGAAATTATAGTGGGACAATAGAGATAATGCCTGCTTCTTGGTTATAGTAGAGCTAAAAGAATGAACTCAGGAGCCTGTTGTGGTAGTTTATGCTTTTAATCCCAGCACTCAGGTGCCAGAGGCGGGTGGGTCTCTCTGTGAGTTTGAAGTCAGGCTGGTCTAGAGTTCCAAGCCAGCCCTGACTTTTAAAAAAAGGAAAAAGGAACTTTGCTGTGATCACCGGTAAACTTTTATCCTTTGATTGTATCACAGTTTGTACTGTCAGAGCAAGGGCTCGGCTATGAACATACTTGTATCCAGTTCTTCGAGAGTTAAGATGTTGTTTACAACATAAAAACAAAGCACGAGGGACTGGGGAGCTGGCGCATTGGAGCTGTCTGCTGTATGAGCAGGACGGGCTGGGTTCAGACGCTCACACACTTAAAAAGCTCGCTGTGGCATGTCTGTCACCTCAGTGCTGGAGTGGAACCCAAAGCCCAGTTCTCAGCCAGTTTAGTGGAAGCGTGAGTTGATGTGCACTCTGTGGAGGAGAGATTGAGGAAGACACCCTGATTCCCACTTCCGGCTTCAGCATTTATCCAGTCCGCCCACGTGCATACACGTGTGTGCTCAGTCACACACACCCACAGCAAAGGGGTATGAAATGGGGCACATCATGTCGTGCCTTGTCTGTAATGAAAATTCCATTAGAAGGGTAAATTTGTACTTCTTCTTTTCCTAAGTTCTCATTCCCTGTTCGTTCCTAGCAAGTGACGCCCGCCAGTATCACGTCACAAAGCTTTGCTCCTCCGTTCTCACAGTACCTCCCTTAGGCTTGCCTTTCTTTGTTCTGTCCCTTCCCCACTCCCTCCTCACATTTCAACAGAGTAGTATTCTGTAGGCCTGGCAGGGTTTGAGGTCTTGGCCTTCCCAACTTCACCTCCAGAGTGTGCCACCAACTCCAGTTTACCAACTCCCAAAACGTGAATGAATTGTCATTACTAAAATTCCCTTGAATGCTTCAACGTTTTTAAAAATTGTGTGCGGATGTTTATGAGAGAGGAAAGTAATGGCAATTAAACCGGTCATTAGAAGATAGTTACCCATAGAAGCAATGATTAGCAGTATTTATGCTGCATGCTGTGATTTGCCCCATAGTTACATAAAAGACTGCTTTCAAATGGGGATCCTAAGGGCTAAAGAGATGGTTCCATAGTTAAGAGAGTATTGCTCTTGCAGAGAACCTGAGTTCAGTTCCCAGAACCCACAGTATGTGGCTAACAACCCACTCAAGAGGATATGACACCCTTTTCTGGCCTTCATGGGCAACTGCGCACACATGCTCGTACCCCACACAGATACACACCCGTACATTTAATTTAAAATAAACATTTTCACGTTTTAAATGGAGAGTCCAGGGCAGATTGGGGTGCAGTGGGGTAGTCAGCTAGGGTAATGGTGTGAAAAGGATGTATTCTAATGATAAAAAGATACTTAACTTTTTGAGAACCACCTATTGGTTTTCCCAAAAAAACTATACTACTTTGGGTTCCTGGACGCCATATGAGGTTCTAGATTGTCCCATCAGTTACCACTTGTGTTTTTGCTTTTATGGGGTTTTTTTGTTTGTAGACATATTAGTAATTGTAGCTTTAGTTTCTCATTTCCACAGAGACTACTGGTTGAGTGGCCTTTTATGTTTTGTTGTTACTTGTATATAAATCACTTTGTGTTTTTATATAAAGAAATATGTACTCAAATATTTGCTGATTTTAAATTGTTTTTCAAATGCAGTTTAACTATCATTAATATATTCTTGATTCAAGAGACATGATTTGCAAATGAAAAAAAAACGAAGTGTGTTCTAAGTTATCCTGTACTTATGTAATCATTTGTTAAGGGCTCACAAGTTCAGCAATTTCAGTCTGCTGTTCATGACTTTATTGATTCTGGACACGTAGTATATGGCATCAAGAACATGTTGAGGAGGAAGCTGCTCTCCTCAGCAGACAAGAATACTGAACCTCTGTATCTTTATCCAACAAGGATCTTGACTGAGAGATAGGTAGGTAGGTAGGTAGGTAGGTAGGTAGGTAGGTAGGTAGGTAGGTAGGTAGAGAATTGATTGAATTGTTTTGTTGATACATTTGTTTACTTTGTTGGTTGGATGTTACACAGGATACATGTAAAGATAAAAGGACAGTTTTCAGGAGTTGGTTCTTCTGCCACCATGTAAGTCACTAGGATCCAATCCGGGTCATCAGGCTTGGTGACAGGTGCCTTTGTCCACTAAGATAGTTTGCTAGTCTGAGGTTTGAGGTCTTCTTTTAAGGCCGTGGTCATTAGGAATTAGTGTTTGTGCAGGGTGAGAAACCTAAAGCATCCCAGAGTTCTGTATCATCTGCTTTTGGCATTTGGAGTGCTCTGTCTCCCATGAGAGTATAATAAATGAGAGTAAAGCAAAGGCTGTTGTCTCTGAGAGAAGTGAGTGACCAACAGGAGGCAAGACATGTGTCTCTTAGCTCTTCCTAGCAGGACAGTTGAGCTCTGAGTTTCCCAGTCCAAAGGAAATAGAACGTCCGCCCCCTCTTAGCCGCTTGATGCCCTGTGTGCCCTGCTGTCTTCACCTGCCCCGTAGGTGGACTGTCCTGTTGTGAAAGGATAACTTTGGTCACCCATCCTCAAGCAGGTAGCGCCATCCGTCCTTTTGAGTTCTGTCTCCTGGGCGCTCAGATTAGACCTGTTCTTGAGAATCTGTGAGTTGTCTTCTTTTCCATAGGATACGGGACAACTGCGTTCTTCCTGTGCAGAGAGATACCGTTTGTCGCACCTTCACCTTCTGTAGTTTAGGGTACATGTTTTGCAAGTGTATGATACAGTGGCAGGCCTTGGGCTCAAGACCTGTATCATCTTACTCCAAGGTTTTTGTTTTGTTTTTGTCAATTATGAAAATAGAGGATTGAGTTAAAGAACTTTAGTTCTAAAGGTCGTAGGGTCTGGGAAGATAGCTCAGTTAGTAAAGTGTTTACCAAGCAAGCATAAAAACCTGAATTCAGATCTCCAGCATGCATGCAAAAATTGCATGCTGACAGGTGGCTATAATCCTAGCTCTGGGAGACAGAGACAGAAGAATCCCTGAAAATCATGAGCCAGCAAGATCATGAACTCCAGGTTCAATGAGAGACCCTATCTCAAAAGTTAAGGTGGAAATCAGTTAAGGGAACACCCAACATCAGTCTCTCACCAGTGTGCATATGGGCATACAACACATGAACACACAGACTCAAAAATAAATCAAAGTCAGATTATGTACTGAGATAGGTCTTTTGACTCTCTAAGGGATAACCACCTCTGTGTTACTTTGTAGAAAAGTATGGTAGTAGGCTGTGTGTGTGTGTGTGTGTGTGTGTGTGTGTGTGTGTGTGTGTGTGTGTGTGTGTGTGTGAGAAAGAGAGAGAGAGAGAGAGAGAGAGAGAGAGAGAGAGAGAGAGAGAGAGAGAGAGAGAGAGAGAGAGAGATCACTTCACTTCATAGGGCTACACAGAGAAATCCTGTCTTAAAAAAAAAACAAATAAATTTAAGCCAGGCAGTTGTTACTCACACCTTTAATTCCAACATTCAGGAGGCAGAGGCAGGCAGATCTCTGAGTTCAAGGTCAGTCTGTTCTATGGAATGGGTTCCAGGACAGTCAGGGCTACACAGAGAAACCGTGTCTCAAAAAAACAGATAAAGAAATGGAGGCTGATTTTTTTTGTGTTTGGGTTTTTTTGTTTGTTTGTTTGTTTTTTATTTTGAGTATTTTGAGTGCATGCTTGGTGTCCAAGAAGGTGAGAAAAAGACATCAGATACCCTGGAGCTGGAGTTAGGGATGGATGTGAGTCACCATAGATGCTGGGAACCGAACTCAGGTCGTCTGCAAGAGCGATGGCTGCTTTTAACCTGTGAGCCACCTCTCCGCCATCTGTTTTGTGTTACCAGGCCTTCCTCTTCTGCAGGGCTTTCTCCATCACATTAAGATGAATACTGCACTCACTTAAGCTGCATGTACAGACCGTATACACCCTCATGGCTTTCTTTTTCTTGAAGCATGAATTCTTACACTTTAAGTATATTGCAGTTACTGTTGGTGCATAATAAATCACCCACAATATAGTGGTTTAAAACAAACTAGAGGGCTGGAGAGATGGATTAGAAGTCAAGAACATGGATCTCCTTCCAGAGGACCCAGCACCACACTGGGTTGTCCACAGCTGCTTGTAACTTCCGTCAGCTCAGGGCATCTGAAGCTCTCCAGCCTCTGTAGACACCCTTGTTTACTCGGCATGCACACACAGACACACATCTCCAGCCTCTGTAGACACCCTTGTTTACTCGGCATGCACACGCAGACACACATCTCCAGCCTCTGTAGACACCCTTGTTTACTCGGCATGCACACGCAGACACACATCTCCAGCCTCTGTAGACACCCTTGTTTACTCGGCATGCACACGCAGACACATATCTCCAGCCTCTGTAGACACCCTTGTTTACTCGGCATGCACACGCAGACACATATCTCCAGCCTCTGTAGACACCCTTGTTTACTCGGCATGCACACGCAGACACACAAATTTTAAAAAATAACGTCAGGCAAGGCCTTTAGTCCTAGCACTGGGGAGGCTGGAGCAGATAGCTCTTTGTGTGTTCAAGGGCAGACTGGTCTACATAGTCAGTCTTAGGTCAGCCGAGACGACACACTAAGACCCTGTCTAAAAGCAAACAAATAAGAGGTGTTGGAGATGGTGGTTTAGTGGTTAAGATCCCTAGCTGCTCTTCCAAATGACTCTGGTTCAATTTGCAGCATTCATGGCCACTCAGAGCCATCTGTGACGCCACTCCCAGGGAACCCTTCTCTGGACTCTGAGGGTACTGCACACATGTGACGTACAGATATCCATGTAGGTAAAAGGCTGACACATGTGAAAATGAAGATTAAAAAATTTTAATAAAGACTTGTAATTTGAGCTGATCTCAGAATATGTCTGTTTCATGTGGTATCAGCTGGAGTAAGTATTAAAAGTTTGTTTACCAAGTAACTCATTCATATACCTGCCAAGTTGATGCTGTCAGCCAGAAGCTCACTCAGGGCCAAGGATTAGGTGCCTCAGTTTTTCTCTTCGTTAGCCTTTCTGTGAGACTTCTCAGGCTGCATGGTCTCTGATGGTGTGGTAACTGGTTCTGTCAATGAAATCTCACCGTCAAGCCTTGTACTTCTTTTAGTCCTCCTGCTTCCCCCCAGAGTGCTAGGATTACCATTGTTCTCCACCACACTCATTTTACACAAGTTATTAATGTGACTAGTGTCTACTGCATGCAAAGCTCTGTGGTATATGACAGGATTCAGATATAGAGTAGAGGCAGTACAGGGGAATGATGCTGAAAACGGGCTTCATGCGTGTCCTCTGGTAGCACTGACACAGGACCAAGAGGCCAATGCCAGGAGTTCTGAGTTTGGGCTGAAATTAGTGTGTAACTGATAAATTTTGTCACATAACAGGTAAAAATTTGGGCTGGAGAGATGGCTCAGAGGTTAAGAGCACTGGTTGTTCTTCAGAGGACCTGAGTTCATTTCCTAGCAACCACGTGGTGGCTCACAACCATCTGTAATGAGATCTGGTGCCCTCTTGTGGCATGTAGGCATATAAACAGATGCTGTATATATAATAAATCAATAAATCTAAAAAAAATTTTTTAAAGGTAAAAATTTGCTGGGCGTTGGTGGCACACGCCTTTAATCCCAGCATTCGGGAGGCAGAGGCAGGGAGATCTTTGTGAGTTCAAGGCCAGCCTGGTCTACAGGGCCAGTGCCAGGATAGGCTCCAAAACTACACAGAGTAACCCTGTCTCGGGGGAAAAAAGCATAAAAAAAGGTACAAGTTTTTATTGAATGTGCGTAGTTTGGGCTTTTATTTGTTTCATTTTAGAGATCGACTCTGGCTGTGTAGCCCCGCCTGATTGCTCTCCTGATCCCCTTGCCTCTGCCCTCCAGTACAGGATGACAAGCATGCCACTCCTGCTTAACAGAAATATGTGTAGGGCTGGTGTGTGGAGGCCACGTGCAGTCTTGGATGTCATTCCTCAGGTGCTGTTCACCTTGTGTGTTGACACACGTGCAGTCTTGGATGTCATTCCTCAGGTGCTGTTCACCTTGTGTGTTGACACAGGATCTCTTGTTGGTGTGGAGCCAGGTCATTGGGCTAGACTGGCTGACCAGGGAGTCCCAGAGCCTGGACCTGTCTCTACCTCTACATCACAGGAAGTAAAAGTGCATCCTCCATGCCCAGCCTTTTTACAATATTTGTAAACCATCTGTTCTCGTTTGACACCAGTTTCGGTTCCCACTACTCCCCTCCTCATGCTCTCCCGCCCACCCCATCCACTCCCCAGAGAGGGTGAGGCTTCCCATGGGAGTCAGTACAGTCTGGCGCATCGCTCTGAGGCAGGACCAACACCCTCCAAAGAGAGTGGGCTCCAAAAGGGCAGCTGAAGCTCCTGGGATAACCCTGGTCCCACTGCCAGTGATGCCCAGCCTTTTTATGTGGCTGCCCAAGCACTTACTTTATCAACTGAGCTGTCTCCCCATCTTCTCTTCAGTTTGTGGGTATGTGGGTAAATAACTTTTTTGTTTTGGGGGGGTTGATAGAATGAGTTAGGGCTTAGTATTAATCTTCTCCTTGTTTTCTTTTCAGAGAGGTGAGTATTGAGAAGTATTACTCAAGTAATAAGTAGATAGGAAAGCTAGGTGTTTTGTTACAACAATATGCAGACTTTAGTGGTCCCCAATACCAGGGACTCAACTGCATATTCACTGGAGGCTATTATACTCACAGTTCTGACTTAGCACAATGAAAAGAAGATAAAATCAGCCAAAGGAATAAACATGTGGAGCAGAGTCCAAGGAGTTTCCCACGTGGAGCTTCCGGTTGTCTTCTCTTAGTGAAGTTATGTACAGTGCTAAATTCTCCTGGCAGGAATATGTGATAGTAACATGGAGTACCGCCAGCCAGGAAAGGTCCCTGACCCTTCTGATTAAGTTAGTCTCATAGATATAGTTGCCTGTTTATGGCTGACCTTAGTCTCTAGCTCCTCAAAAAGTCAGATTGATGCTACGTAACCCCAAACTCCTCTATACACTATATTGCTAATAGTCCAGGGGTGATTCCAAATACCACACGGAACATCCCAAGTGAGGGCTTAGTGATGGCTTCCCAGGAAACGAAGGAAAAGTTCCAGTCCTCTCTCTGGGTAGGAATATTCCTTTACAACACTCTGTTACTTGTACTCATTCCTATAATTTGTCTTTAAAATGTATTTTAATGGTCATCTGAAAATTCAGTTAACTTTGTTGAAAGTAAAGAATTAAAACCAAGAAACTTTGAAAGTAATTTTTTTTCATTACAGCCTAGTTAAATGTTTGTATTTGGAAATGTCTTTGATGTGCCATAATTTTTATAGCCTGTAATGATATGTACTGGAGTCTATATTAATAAAATGTAAAGGCCTTTTATAAAATAGAGGTTAGTTGCAACAAGGAAAATTCTTTACACATACACATTTGCCAGTGGTTCTCTGGCAAATCAGATTTAAGATTTATTTTGTTTCTGTGTATGCACATATATGTGAGTTCCTATAGGGGCCAGAAGAAGGCATTGAGTTCCCTGGAGCTAGAATCTCTGGTGTTTGTGAGACATAAGGTATGGGTGCTCGGGTCTGAATGTAGGTCCTCTGCAAGAGCAGAAGGTATTCTTAATCACTGAGCCATTTCTCCAGCCTAGATTTAAAAAATAATTAAAAGTATATATGTAACAGGCACAGCCTCTGTTTTCCAAGGATCACAGGTCTCATTAGAGAATACAGATACGACATATTCACAAATTTTAATAACTAGATAAAGTCTTAAGTACAGCTGTTGGTGGTGAGAGAGCATTATCATTTCTAGACGTGGAAATCTAGAAAAAAGAAAAGATATGAGGAAAGGCTAGCTCGGTTAGGTAGACCCTGGTTTATTCAGATCCCGGACTGGTGAAGAGTGCACAGGAAAGCACTCCAGGCAGAGATGGTGCTGAGCCTGCACACAAGTTTAAGGCAGACCTGCATCTGGATGGTCTTGCTGCCGCCTTCCTAACTGTATTACCTTGGCAAGTCTTTGCTGGCTGGCTTGGAGCATTGGATTCCTAATCTGTAACATGGGATCAATTCCTACACCTTGTAGAATTCTCTCAATACCAAAATTGGTAGGAGTCCAAGAATGTGAAGTTTTTCATCCTTTCAGGGTTTGCACACCTTTCCTACCTTTCCAGGACTAGCTAAGGAAGCATATTGAATCGCTCTCCTGTGTGGACGGCAGGCCAGGCTCTTCCCCCCACTTTGAAGGCCTCCTCTAAGAGCTTTCCAGGGTCTCAGTTGTCCCCTATTACCTGTTGCTGACTTATGTCACAGAGTCTACACTAAAATTAAAGCTTTACAATAGGTTGGTAAATGGAAATCATTATGACATCAAACAGGAAATAAGTATCATGTGTCCGTTTCTAAAATCCATCAGCCCTGTCTAGAATGGAGTTTTCCTACTTTCTTTCTAATCTGCCCCTCTCACAATCCTCTCTCTTGGACCCCCTCTTCCCTGAGACCCAATAATCTTAACTGAGCTCTACCCACCCTCAAAAGGACCAGAATTTTAAAGTTAAAAAAAATGAGAAAAACTAACTCTCTAGTGAAGACAAGTCTTTTTTACCTTGCAGGACAGAAGACTTAGCCTCAGCTGTCCTGACCTCCTATCTTTGGAGGATACTTGTGATGGTGGCATAGCTAAATGGCCCAAGACTTGCTACAACAAAAGCCCTTAACTGCAGTTGCCAAGTGGCTGCTATGAAGTGCTTAGCAGTTTTGTTCCCTGCTACACATGTATAAAAGACTTAGCAACCGTGGTGCCCAACATTAAATAGTATTCAGTAATCTTTGTAAAGGAAAAGTGATATCATCGTCTGCATGTGTTTGAACCTTTACCTTGTCAGTGAACTCCACTAGACATAAGTAACACAAGAACTGGGGGTATTAGAAGGACTTTGCCACAGGCCTGGGGTCATGAAACAAACAAGCTTGCATCTTGTTGGTATGGATTCCCAATAGTCTATGATGGGTTAGGAGACCAGATTCTAGCATCGTTTTTATCTTAGCTTATCAAAGTGCAGTGTACATATAGAGAGTACAAATGCCATAAGTATACAGGTGTTAAATTTGCATTGCTGATATATTTATTTATTAATAAGAGTGTATGATTTGCCTATTTCCCTTCAGATAATTTTTATGGTGGGACGAGGATATCTATCTCCAGATCTCAGTAAGGTACGGAGTAACTGTCCAAAAGCCATGAAGAGATTAATGGCAGAGTGCCTGAAAAAGAAAAGAGATGAGAGACCACTCTTTCCCCAAGTAAGAAAACCTTCATGCTAACCTTTATAAGCCCATTTTTAGCATGATGCAGGAGAGTGAGAGGTACAGTTTGGATTCTGAGTTGGTCCTCTGTGCACATCCAGGTGAGCAAACAGGCAGTGACTTCATGAAGGCTGAGCAGAGTTTGGGATCCCAATACAAGCTCTTTAGCAGGACTTTTAAGACTTATCTTACCTTATTTTATTTTGTGTATGGGTATTTTGCTTGCATGTATATGTGTGTACCTGGTGCCTTCTGAGGCTTGAAGAAAGTCAGATCCCCTAGAACTAGAGCTGTAACAGCTGTGAGCCATCGTGTGGGCTTTGAGAACTGAGCCATCTCTCCATCCCTAGTTCTCAAACATTTTGATCTTGGCATCCTTTCATATTTTAAAATAGTTAAAGACCATTAGAGGGCTTTCATTTGTAAAACTAACAATAATGAGTTCATAAACAATGAAAAGAAATGGACAAAAAGAGTGGTATTGATTTCAATTTTTTCCCAACTGTTTCTCTACTCATTGTGTTTCAGCATCATATGCTATGTTGGCTCTGACAACTTACTTATAGGAATTCTATGTGAAGCATTCATGTTTCTAATTTAAATAAAACATATATTGAGGAAAAATTCTATGTACACTTTGACCTGGGTTATTCTTGACGGTAAAATTATTCCAAGTTTTCTGTCCATACTAGATTTTTCTTATTTTTTAATTTTTTACTTAGGTATTTGTTATTTCAAGTTTGTATTATATATTGTTTTGTTATATATTAATATTATGTTATTAATTTTACTTATATTATATTCTTAATATAACTGTATACTATAATGGGTTCTTACTTTATGATACTCTAGGGTATCATGACCTGGTACTCATTATGTAGCCTGTGATGGCCTGAAAGTCAAAGACATCCACCTGCCTCTGCCTCAAGGAGTACTGGGATTAGAGGTATGGTGGTGTACACCACCACATGTAGCTTTGATTTTTTGTGTGTATGTGGGGGGGGGTTGTGAGTGTGTGTGTGCGTGCGAGGGTGACATTTGTGAGTGTGTGTGCAAGTGTGACATTTGTGAGTGTGTGAGGGTGACATTTGTGGACGTGCCCAAGGAAGAGAGAAGAAGTTATTGGACCCCCCAGAGCCAGAGTTTCAGCTTTGTAATTAGTTCTAAATTATTTTTACGTAACCATTTCAAGGATGGCAAATGATCTAAAATTCAAGCAAACACTGAGTGACTTTACTCATTCAGCTGTGTGTGTATATAAAACCTGTTACTAGCTGGACATTGGAGGCGCGCACCTTTAATCCCAGCACTTGGGAGGCTGGAGCAGGTGGATCTCTGAGTTCGAGGCCAGCCTGGTCTACAGAGCGAGCTCCAGGACAGTCTCCAAAGCCACAGGGAAACCCTGTCTTAAAAAGAAAAAAACCAAAGCCACAGAGAAACCCTGTCTTAAAAAGAAAAAACCAAAGCCACAGAGAGACCCTGTCTCAGAAAAGACAAAACTGTGCTAGCTTTTGACTTTTGTGTTTGTGGGAAAATACCTGTTTCTCTTTGTTCATTCATTATACTGAAAACAATGTAAAGTCTCGAATAAAATGTCATTATGAATATGAAGAGCTCTTAACCGTGTATACTGCCCAAACGTTTAATTCTGCTTTTTCTTGTTTCTTGTGTTTGCTCCGCCCTGCCCCGCCCCTTCTGTCTTACAGATTCTTGCCTCTATTGAGCTGCTGGCCCGCTCATTGCCAAAAATTCACCGCAGTGCATCAGAACCCTCCTTGAATCGGGCTGGTTTCCAAACGGAAGACTTTAGTCTGTATGCTTGTGCTTCTCCTAAGACACCCATCCAAGCAGGGGGATATGGTGCGTTTCCAGTCCACTGAGACAAACTAAATGAGTGAGACATTAAAGTAAGGTAGCAACAAAAACAAGTGAACAGTTTTCCTTATGTTTAAATTAACTAGGATACTCTGTTGTTTACAGGTGAGCCAAAGAATGCTTGTGTTTAAAAACCTAGGAATTGCTTTCCAAATCTTAAAAATCATCCTGAACGCTGGGCGTTGGTGGAGCACGCCTTTAATCCCAGCACTCGGGAGGCAGAGGCAGGCGGATCTCTGTGAGTTCGAGGCCATCCTGGTCTACAAAGCGAGTTCCAGGACAGCCTCCAAAACAATACAGAGAAACCCTGTCTCGAAAAACCAAAAAAAAAAAATCATCCTGAACATTGAATTTCCACATCAGTGCGGTAAAATACACAAACACTGATAAACATTTGCAGTGCCTCTCTCAGAGGCTTTACTGCCCAGTGTGAGTTTGTTTTGTTCTCTTAGTTATTCCTGCCATTAACTCTAGGTTTCTCTCTCAGTTTGCTCTGCCCCTTTTGTTATTGACTGTCACTGTCATAGGACGTCCAGAGGAAGACTTCCTCTTTGCGTTCACAGGCGGGAAGTGCACAGCCTCTGTCAGCTGTGCAAACCTGATAGCTTGTAGAACCAAATAATCTAGAGTTTTATTCTATCTCCCTATAGCTTTTTCTTTTTATTACAGTTTAGAAAGTATAGAAGTCCTTTATTTCTTTGAAGCAATAAATAATTTTTTAAATAAATTTTGGATATGAGTAGCCAAAAATGTCAGTCAGTAGCACATTTGACGTAGGTAATATGACTTAGCTTTGGATTTTCACTGGAGAATACAAATTGAGGTTCGTACATGTATAAAAATCAAAGGTTTTTGCAAATGCCCTGTCCTTTATTCTCACTCCCTTCCCCAAAAAAAACTTTACAAAATTCTTACATAGTTGCTTGCCAAACAGTCAAGTAATGGATATTTGAAGTTACTATGTTAGGTTATGCTCACCTCTTGATGTATGTTAACAGCAGACTCCTAGCGTTGTGTCTCATCATTTTCTTCCTTCAATATCCTTTGTCCAACAAGATCCCACTGAGATGAATGCCTGGTAGTCCTCTTCTTGCATTCCAGTGTGAAGTACGTCTAACGTTTGCCTTTTCATGTATACAAGACGATTATAATGTACCCATGAGGAGTATTATTGATTCTCTGGTGATCTGGAGAGAATCTAAAAATAAAAAAGTAGAATAAAAACCCTGCCGTCTTACTTCATAGTCACCTAGTGACCGAAGCCCATTGATAGTCAGTCACCCAGTTCAGACCTGTGATAATGCTTAAAGGCAACCCAAAGCAAAAAACTCGACAGACAGACCATATCTGCATACATGCTGTCCTCCTTTGAAAACAGTAAAGCAGACCGCTAGGAAAACTTCAATGATAATTGAGTATGTAAGTACCGCAGGTATTTTCCTTACTTACATTGTTACTGTTCCTAATAAGGAAACTGCCTATTATTGTGACTTGTCTTTTGTCCCTCATTTGGGTAAGTTGAGATGCCATCATAATTTTATATACAGATTCATGATCCCAAATATAAAAGAGAACATTTGTCATGTTACAAAAAAGAAGAAAAAAAAAAAAGCCAGTGCAATGAAATCAGGATCACAACAAGTTCAAGGCAGCCCCGTGCTACATAAAAGCTCTGCCTCAGAAAACCTAGGACTTGGATGTAACTCAGTGGTAGATGACTTTAGAGAGTGTGCAAGTGCTTGTATAGAGTGTATCACCAGCATGGAAAAGGGAGTTCAAACATGGTAATATATTAGAAACCATCAAAACTCAAGATTTCTAAACCTTCCAGTGACATAAAGATAAGGTTATTGGTAGATATTGTTGCACGTAGCTAACAAGGTTTCACAAAATTTACTTGGTCCATAGAATATGCCAACGTTTTGAGCATATGAAACATAGTATATCGAAGGGTTTGGGGGGCAGAGGTTGAGACAGGGTTTCTCTGTAGCTTTGGAGGCTGTCCTAGAACTAGCTTCTGGAGACCAGGCTGGTCTCGAACTCACAGAGATCTGACTGCCTCTGCCTCCTGAGTGGAATTATTTGTATTTCATTTACATTGATGTTTCGCCTGCATGTATGTCTGTGTGAGGGTGTTAGATCCCCTGGAACAGAGGTTATAGACAGCTGTGAGCTGCCATGTGGATGTTGGGAATTGAACCTGTGTCCTCTGAAAGAGAAGCCAGTGCTCTTAACCACTGAGCCATCGCTCCAGCCCTGAAGGATTTTTTTAATGGAGCTCTTTCTGTAATCTCCCAGCATACCTGTTTTACTCATGTGTTCCTCTCCTCATCCACTCTCCCCTCGGCACTACCATGCCCAGGACTCCACCGTCTTCGCTGGACTGGCTCTCACTCCATCCTTCCCTCCCTTCCTGTCTCCCTCTTCTTTCCTCCTTCTGTATTAGCAGCATTGGCATTCCTAAGCTCGCTCAAGCTGCTCAGAAACTCATGTCCTACCAGTAGACACCCAAGCATCCCCCATAGGTTACATAATAGTTGATTTCCTCTTCTGAAAGGGAAGAGAATTAAAACACGATAGGTAAGATATATAGGTAACGGAGATCTAGAGAAATAGGAAGCACTAGAATTAACTCAGTTTCCCTTTCTGTGTTTTTTTGTTAATGGTGCTATTTTGTTTGTTTTGCTAGGACTTCTAGTTTTCTCATAAAGGATTATACCCTCATGTTCCTTTCTAGGCCTTTTTTAAGTTATGTGATTTGGGGCAAGTTTCTGGACCACTCTGAACCCCAGCTTGTTCATCTATAAAACATATTCATGTGCAGCCCAGGCTGGCCTGAAACTTTAGATTTTCTTAACACTACCTACCAAGTACTGGGATTACAAGTGTGAACCACAGTGCCTAGTTTCTTTCTTTGGTCTTTAGGCTCACCAGTGCCTTGGTTAGTTTCTCATTCAAAAGAATCTTTGATAGAAAGAGTCTATGGTCCAGTTAGTTGTATTCAGAGTCAGAATGCAGAGCTTGATTAAAACTTGTCTAGAGAGCTGAGAGCAATGGTAGTCCTGGAATCCCAGCATGAGGAGGACGAGACAAGAGGATGGCAAGGTCAGGAGCACCTTGCTAATCTTGTCAACATGTAAATCTTAAGAGTCAGTCTGCCGGCCTCATTAGCAATAATTATGTAGAGCCAGGCAAGGTGGGCAGGTCTTGCGTGTGTGAGGACCGCCTGCCTGCACTATGGGTTTGAGGCTTGACCTGCAGCGTGACGCCCAGCTGTGAAACTCCATGCAGCTGCTTAGTTTCCTGGTACAGTTGAGCTGCTCTTCGCATGCCGAGCACGGTCACTTGTGTGTCTCGTGGATTCTAGTGACTTGAGGGTTAAACTGTGTTGCTGCAAAGTTTGTGATATATTTAATTAGTCCCCTTTCAGTGGAATTGAAATGAGGTTTTTCTGTGTGAGTTCTTTTGAGATAACTTTTAAAATCAGCTCTTGTCCTCCCTCTACAGGAGAATTTGCAGCCTTCAAGTAGCCACCCCGTCATGACAGCATCACTCTTTATTCTTAAGTCTGTGTTCATACAGTCTGTTAACATCCAAACACGGCTCTGTTCCTCTAATCTTCTTTAAAAGATACAAAATGTTCAGTGCATAAGCTCATGTGGAACAGAGTGGAATTTCCGATTCAACAAAAGAGGGAAGAATGTTTTAGGAACCAGAATTCTCTGCTGCCCGTGTTTCTTCTTCAACACAAATATCACCTGCATACAAGTCTGCCCATTCCCAGGAAGAAAGAGGAGAGACCCTGAAATCTGCCCTTTTGGTGGTCAGGCATGATGGAAAGAGTTTGCTGCTGCAGCTTGGGAAACTTGCTATGGAAAGTCTGCCGGTCAACCTTGCCCTTCTAACCAGATCAGTTTGTGGCTGGTCATCTGATGGGGCGATTTCAGTCACTGAGCATCGTTGCCTGTTCTGGGATCGTGTGGAGCGCTTTCCCTGTCACCGCCGTTACTCTCTGAGGGATGGAGGAATGCAGCATGTCCTTTGTGTAGTGCCTGTGCAGTCCAAACACACGCTGTCCCAGTGGAGCTCTGAGCTCTCGTGGGGGAGGCGACGAGGGGCGTGGGGCAGAAAGGGGTGCTGCATCTTCTCCCTCCCTCCAGCGCTCCCCTCGGGTTGCCTCGCTCCTGGCTCTGCCTAACCGCTCGGGCTGGACAGTGCTGCACACGTGGCCTCCTGTTCTCGTTGGGTCCAGCAATGGAGGTGAGGGCTGAGGGGCTGTCTCCTCCACGCTGTAGCAAATTCTCAGGAAAATGCCGTCCATATCTTCCTCTCAGCTCTTCCAGTCACCAAACACTTAAGTGGCTACATTGTCCAGGGCACAAAATGTCATGGGCAGCATCTAATTAAAAGCCTACAAAACTGCTTACTGACAGTTTTGAATGTGAGAAATTAGTGTAATTTAAATGTAAGGTACATGTTTTAATTTCTGAGTTTCTTCTATTTTTATTTTTTAAAAAAATAATTTTCAGGTTTAATTGGAATAAAAGAATACTTCCCACCAGAATATATATCCTGAAAATTATATTTTTGTTAATTGTAAGCAGCTTTTAAAGAATGATGATTATCCTTTTCTTTACCTAAAACTATGGGGAGTCTTAGCCTAGTGACAGTTACTTATACTTTTTAAATTAATGGTACTTGCTGGATCCACACTAACATCTTTGCTAACAATCCCATTGTTTCTTCCAACTTAATGCCTACACTACATCCCACATCCTCCTTCTAGTCTTTTATCTATAATATGCAACCTAAAATAAAAATGGTGGTGTCTCCATTAATTCTCCTCCTTCCTGTTTTCCCAAGCCTGGTCTTCAAAAGGTTGGGTAATTTAGTAGCTGAGTTCCCTAGATAGAAATAGAAATGTTGGACATTGGAGTTGCAGGAAGGTATGAGGCCTGTCATCAGTTGTTTTCATACAACCCTAAATCTCAACCTTTGCACAAATCAAAAGTATAACCTATTTACAACTTCCCTTGGCCTTTATTTAAGGGTAATAAAAAAATCACCATAGTAGCAAAGAAAGTGACTGAATGAGTTAGTAGCCAGTACCTCTCTTATCCAGGAATCTTGAATCTAGAAATGCAAATTAAAAGAGATGTACTTAGCAACTACACTATAGCCAAGAACTTGAAAAAAATACTATGAAATCTCAAATAAAATGGAACTTTTAGTATTTTTAGTTATTTTCTAATTTCAAATCATAACTGATCCCACTATATATTTAAGCCTACTCAAAACAGATGGTGTTTTTTGCTAAAATGTCTGTCATCAAAGGAAGGCCTGCTGAAAATGTTATGAGTTCCCAGTGTATTGGAAAGTCTTCTGAAGTTAGCAGTTAGCAGCAAAGCATTTTGAAGTCTTACATGAGTAGAACAATATCTTAAAAGTCATGGAAACTGACATGAAAATGACTCACTCAGCTATGAGAAGTAGCCTCTGCATGTGATGTGTCGCGTTTGGAAAGGCTTTGTGCTTTAAGTGCTTTTTGGCATGCCTTTGTTTGCTTCACTCCGGGTCAGCTTGAAAGAGCAGGGCTTTGGCCATTGATGCACATCTAGGCCCTGCGGAGGTGTTAGAGCCTCCTAGGCATGGCCTTGGTACAGGGCCACTCCTTGCTGGGAGAGGGGCCGGCAAGCTTAAGGAGGGAGCTTAGCATGTGAGTGGTCTAGACAGAACGCAATGGGACCCTTCTTCCTTTCATTTCAGTATAGGTTGCTGTCTTAGCCGGAAAGGGAAATAGAGTTGATATTAAATGAAGCTGTGCCCAGAAGCCAGGCTCAGGGTATTGAGAGATTTTTAATAGAGAATATAAAAAGTAGAAATATTTAAACCTTCCTTATTTTCTATCAAATATTTTTTTCTTCTTGTTTACAAACAACATGAAAACCGTTTCCTTTGTGGGTTTTTTTTTTCCTTATTTTTTTATGCTTAGACTGCAGGTAATCTTGTTGAGCTCCTAGAAAACGCAAGGAAGCCCTTGTTTGTGCAGAGCACTTTATGAGTAATTGTCCAGACAGAATGTGGCTGCTTCACTCGTCTTGTGAGACGGTAGCTGTCAGTTCATGCGTGGTTGCAGTGCCTCCTGAGATCTGTTCTCTTTAGGTTAAGAGTGAAGTCTTGAAAAGTTTGAGAGCAACTATATAGACTTGTTTTTAAATATGTAGTATTCCTGACAAACTTTCACCATTAAGCTACAGGACCCAAACTTTTGCCACTGAGGTATCATTAACCTCAAGGTGTAGTTTATAGAAGGAACTTGTGGACAGAGTGTCCCGTGTGATCCTTTGTACTTATATACATCTTCAACGAAGATTCTGTTTTAACTGTCAGACTCTGGTTCCTGAACAGCCCGTCTCTTAACTGTATGTGAGGTCTGGGAGGGCATAAGGAGGCATCCTAAAAGATGACCTGATATAAACGATATGCTACATTTATGCTGGTACGGAAGAAAGCATTATGTACAGATATAATTGAAGACTTCAGCACTGTCAACCAGAAACCCTGTAAATACTCCTCAGTCTTGGTGCAGTCCCCTTCTTTTGTCCTGTGATGTCTTGTACTTGTCAGGCACTGTCAGAGCTGCTGTTTGCCCCTCTTCAGACCTCACCTGTCCCTACGCATCTGCCTCCCGGCCTCTTGCAAACCTCAGCATCTAGCTTTAGTTGGAAACACAGTGCAGGGATCAGGTGACCTTTTCAAAAACTACCTCCTCAGAAAGAGGTAATGAATAGTTATTTATTTTAAAGTATGGAAAGTCAGGAGCTCTAGAACGTGAAGATGATATAAGATTTTAACTTCTATGTGTATGTGTAGTTGAGCACTCGTTTTGTCCTAAAGGGCATTATACATTTAAGCAGTGACACTGTTTAAACTTTTTCTTTAAAGGTGTAGCTCAGAGTATCTATTGTTGGAATTGGTGCCAGAGTCTGTTTAGTATACTTCCAGAACCTTACCCTTACGTCGCATGAAGTTAAATACTTATGGTACCACTTGGCTAACCATGACATGATTCCGCTTTTCAGCAGTAGGTTTGGCAGGCAGTATACCTTCATAGTGAGTTGCCACCGCTTGTCACATGCACAGATGCTCGTCTGAAGACTGCCCAGCCACGAGATAGAAGGATACCCTTTCTATAAGACTCTCTCTCTTCTTGGTCCAAGTTGACATTGCTAGTGCTATAATATCAGCACCTCAGCCAGCAAATGTCAACCAATAAGCTATTTTTAAAACCATAGCCAGAAATGAAAAGTTCACTGTGAGTAGAAACAGCAGGTAGCTTACAGGAGTGAAACAGCATAGGGAGGCTCTAGAAAAATACCTTGACAATTTGCCAAATGATCTTACTGTGCCTTCATGATGCAATAAAAAAGCTAACATTTTAGCAGAAATCAGTGATTTATGAAGAGAACAGCCAGTCTGGTTTAACTCAGTTGTGTTAATATTTTTTAGAGTGCAATTTAGATTGTGAAGATAAATGCACTAAAGAGTTTATAGCCAAAATCACATTTAAAAAAATGAAAAAAGGGTAAATTTTCAATGAACAAAATTATTTTTTTAAAGCACATAATCCCTAGTAGAGCCAGAAATATTTACCACATAGAGCAACTAGGTTGAAAATACAGTTCAGTGACATTTCTAGAGAAACTTTTTCTACTCCCATAGGCTCTTCAAAGCATGGAACTTTTATACACAATGTTTGACATTTTAAGATGCTGCTGTAGTTAGTTTTGAAGTAGTATATGCTGGGCAGCATTCATGTACTAACTTAGTGAGAACAACACATCTTAGATGGTTTCCAGAGATTGCTGCCAACCTAGACACTGAGTGTTAGAGCTTGAAGTGTAAACTTGCCTCCCAAGACCTGTTTGCAAAGCAAGTTGGCTAGTGCTGCTGACTGCTCTGGTGCATGGTGGAGGACAGGGCTGTCTCTGCAGGTGTCTTTTGAAATGGGACGTTGAGTAGTAAGAGACTTGGCCAGTGCATGAAAACTGGACACTCCATGCTGTGGCTCTTGCATCCTCTTTCCTAGCTGTCCCCAAGAAATGCAATGTTTTTCCTAGTGTGTCCTTCAGCTGTTTCACTCAGATTCCAAGGTGAATTTTTACGATGTCAGAAGAGACTGAAATGGTCAGTGTATCTGTGGTCCACACTGGTAGCTCTGGTAGAGTTAAAGATGCTGGCCAGATGTTGTTATATCAGTATACCCAACAATAACTTTAATGATTTCAGAGAACTTAGTTCTACTTCCATTTGGACAGGGACATTTAAGTTGAAATTCAGAAATTGTTGTCATTTGGAAGGAAATGTTAACAGTTCCTATGAGGTATTTTTGAGGTAGAATCTGAAGTCCAGGTTTTTTTCCTTTTCCCTGGGGTTTGCAGAGAGGGTCTTGTATACACTAGGCAAGGCTTCTACCACTGAGCCACATTTCCTAGTATGTAAGATGTCAAGTTATATCAATCAATCTCTCTGTGTCTGTCTCTGTCTCTCTGATTCCTAGTCACCTCCTTAGTAAAGCGCTAAGGGTGAATCCTTTATTTCAGTCCCCACAACTCCCAACTGTCCCTTTATTCGTTACTCAGTGTCACAAACTGTTGACTTTTATTGACTTTTCTAACTGCAGTGACATAAGCAGTTGTGCATGAGGACAACAGCTAGTGTATTGTTTTTTGTGGTGCATTTTTTGTAAAGAATTCTGTAGATTGAAGTGCTCTTTGAAAACAGAACTGAAATATGTTTATTCTTGCTAGTATCAAAAAATGTTTTGTGCAAATCATTTGCTTTTCCTGGCAGGCTGAGTACATTATCCAGCACCCACGATTGCCGGTTCGTATCTACAGTGTACACAGGGGAGACGGGAAACTTGGGGAGGGTGTGTTTACAGAGCTAGAATGGGGAGTATGAATGAGTTACTTGGTCTTATTTATTTTTGCCTTGAAAATCACTGTTTTGAGACTTTGAACCCATGTGTGTTTGGCTGGGCTGTGAGTTACATAGGAAGAAACTGCAGACTAGCATCAGCAAACAAAGCTCACAGACTAGGCACAAATGGAAGAAAATGGACCAAAATAAGGCAGGATGACACTTAAATCTGGGGAACTAAAGCTGGGAGATGAGCTCTTCACCTGAAATATAGTGTAAGAGTGCAGTAAGTGTGTTTCTTATTCTAAGCTGTGAACTTTCGGAAATCATTCCTTTCTAATACACTTAATACTGTGTGTTCCACTGCTGACTGAAACCAGCTTTGTGAACATACGCCTTTTTGTCTGTGGCTAACCTTGGTGTCTTATTTATCGTCATGTTGTATTAGTTCACATACCAGGTATGTGTGTGCTGTACTCTTCCTCCCTTTAGCGACAACACTCTGGATCATTTCCTTTGGTCACTCCACAATAAGCGTTGGTCTGGCTTCCACGTCACCTTATTTGAAGGACTGTGTCCCAGGAGAATTGATGGTGTCCCATCCTTGGGTGTGCTTCTGATCCTTTGCTTCTACAGCCTCTCCTAAGGTAGTCATACAACTAACTGATCAGGGGATGGACTTCATTCGCCATGTCTCTTGGAGTCTATGAAACAGACCACTTTGGCTTTAGACCAGGAAAAGGAGACAACCCTAGCATCTGCCAAGCCTCACCCTAAACAGTCATATTAGTCTGAGGACAAGTCTCCAGTAAGGGAGAGGCGAGGGAAATGCTTCATGTTTGAACTGCGGTGAGTCCCGGCTCCTGTTTCACCACCCAGACCTATGGCAACTCATGCACATTCCTCTTGTCTGTAACTGCCAAAGGTTTGAGTTTATTGTCACTTCAGTTCCACTCAAGCATCGAAAGGGTTCTCTGGAGTCTGGGGTGTGCCCAGTGAAAAGGCGGGGAGTTTTTCATTATCCACAGACCTCTCTATACCTGCTTTGCAAAAATTATAATGGAGTAACTATTTTTAAAGCTTATTTTTCAATTCATAAGAAAAAGACATTTATTTTCAATCAAATGGATGATGTCTCCCTCTTACCCCTTACTCCTCAATGTTTGCTTGAATTTGTTTTCTTCTCTAGACCTACTTCCTGTTACTTTACTTCCTGTTACTTCAGTTCTGTCCTGCTCAGGCCCCTCATTTGTACTTTGGAGTTTTCTCATGTAAATTTGTACAATGGAAAATATTGTTCAGTTTCGATAGAAAGCATGGAGAATCAAATAAAAAGATAGCTGAAAATCAAATTGAGGAAATTTATTTGTGTAAAGTTATTTAAAAACTCTGTATTATAAAAAAAGGCCAAAAAAAGTGCTATGTAATTGATGTGAATATGCGAATACTGCTATAATAAAGATTGACTGCATGGAGAAATCTTAAGATTATTTTTCTAGCACTGACATCTAATAATAGTTGTCACTGGCTATTGACAGTCCAGGCTAAAATACACAAGTATTTTCAAAATATTGATCCTTCTGATGAGTAGAAGTTAAAGTTGACCAGATTCCTGCATGGTCTAGCCAATTTGTAATAAGTCTTTTTATCAAGTTTTGGGGATGACCCTCAATATTTGACAATGTTGTGTGATCTTCTGCATCTCTGGCTTAAAGTGACTGTTCTCTGTGTAACTACCTACTTGAAAGTATAATTTAAGATTTTAGGTGGGTGGTGGTGGCACACTCCTTTGATATCATCACTTGGGAGGTAGAGGCAGGCAGAACTCTTGAGTTCAAGGACAGCCAGGGCTACACAGAGAAACCCTGTCTCAGAAAAAAATAAATAAATAAGCAAATTGATGTGTAGAAATCATCTCAGAAACGTTCGGGAAAAAAAAACCTGTGACACAACTTGCAGTCATCCACTTAGTATAGTGACAGATTCTGTTCACAAACACATCTAGCACTGAACTCGGTTTCACTTTATGCATCTAATTTCAGAATCCCCTTTATTTTGAAAAACTCCTGAAATACCTTCAGACAAAATATATCAAACTACCATACGAGTTCCAGGAAAAAGATGGCGACTTTAAAGCTTCACACCAGAAACGTGCCAGGAGGGTGCAAGCTTTAAGGGGTGTTTCTGACCTTTCACCTAAGTACCTCTCTAGCCCAAAGATACTGCCAGGGCTTAGCACTCTCTGAACTGTAATGTTCTCAGCTGAAGAAAGAAAACAGTTATTCTGTATTTACAAGTTTGTTTTTTCTTTTTTTCTTTTTTGTTTTTTACGAGACAGACAAGTTTGTTTTCTATATAACCATTCCTTATTACAAGTTATTGCGGCTTTACTTCTCGATGTATCATACATAGGAGTTTTCCATGAGATCTGTCCCCAGATTATGGATGTTTTACTTATGTTTCAAAGCTCTCCCATGCCCAGCTCTTCTGAAAGGGCTGTAGTTATTATGTCTTACTGTCCCCCAAACTCACAAAATTAGTAGAGTGTCATTTAAAGAAAGAGCCCTTATCCCACAAAACTCTGAAGGACATGCCTCACCAGGTCTATGCAGCCAGAACCCAAGGTCAGTACACAATGGTGTTCTAGTGAGGCCATCAGTACGGAAACCTAAATGGAAATGTGTGTTTACTTCCCACACTGAACTCCCAGTTACAGGAGGATGCTACCACACTTGCTGCACTGGAGACAGCAGAAAGCCAGGCTACTGAGGTGGTCAGCACAGCAGCGTGGACTACTGACATTTCCTGGACAGAACACACTTGTATCCTGTCGATGGCAAGATGGCAGAGGAGCCAGATTGTTCTAGAACCCAAAATGACACCTGTAGCAGTGGTAGCACACTCTAATCGCAGCACGCAGGAAGCAAAGGCAGGTAGGTCTCTGTTGTACGGAGAAACCGTCTCAAAACAAAAAACCAAATGGCACCTGTGGCTCATGTAACATGCATTTAACAGGTGTTCTTATATCATGCCTCATGGCTTTATTAGATGTCTACTTGTCTTACTAGACTCCCTAGGAAGCTAGTAAAATTACCACGAGTCATTCCTCACCTGTTTACAAAGTCCTAGGTATCTACCAGGCTTCACCCTAAAGCTTAATTTGGAGTGTACTTTCAGCACTCACGTCAGTGAGAGAGCCTCTAAACTTGCTTGGGTGTCTTTTGTCCTTTGGTTTTGTCTTTTTGAGTTGATTTTGTAGAGGAGTGTTAGTGGTGCACGCCTTTAACCCCAGCACTCGGGAGGCAGAGGCAGGCAGATCTCTGTGAGTTCGAGGCCAGCCTGGTTTACAGAGCGAGTTCCAGGACAGCCTCCAAAACAATACAGAGAAACCCTGTCTCGAAAAACAAAAAAAAATTTTTTGGAGAGGAGTGGGACCACATCTGTGGTATGTGGGGCTTTCTTATGAAAATCAGACCAGGGTTCCAGAGTGGCCATAAACCTAGCTTAGAGGAAATGTTCTAAAAACAATCACAGTTAAGTGCTCCTGCTTACAGCAGCGGTTTCTCAACCTGGGGGTCAAACGACCCTTTCACAGAGGTTACCTAGACCATTGGAAAACAGACATTTACATCACATTCATAACAACAGCAAAATAACTTACAAAGTAGCAACAAAAATAATGTCAAGGGTCTTAGCGTTAGGAAGGTTGAGAACTACTGTTCTAGAAACTACTTCATGCTAGGCATACTCTAAGCTACTTCACAGAGAAATGAAGGCACAAGATTAAAATAAGTACTTTGCCCACACAGAGCAAGTAAATGGTAGACTTAGGATCAGATGTGGTCAACTTGACTCCAGAGCTTGGGGTGCTTTATCTCTCAAACTGCTCATGACCCGAGTGGGTGATACAGCCAGCTTGAGATGTCTCCACTGGCCATGTTCTTCTGTTTCGATTTTCAAGACAAGAGTTTCTCTGTGTAGCCCTGGCTGTCCTGGGGCTGGAACTCACTCTGACACAAACCAGCAGCCATTAACATCCATCCCACCCTCCCCATAATTGTTTATAGTCACATTAGACTGTTTCCAACAGAGCTTGGTCTTCTAGACCCTGATAAGTCATCTTCCTAAACACACTTTTGGCTGGGCGGTGGGGGTGCACGCCTTTAATCCCAGCACTTAGGAGGCAGAGGCAGGCGGATCTCTGGTTTGAGGCCAGCTTGGTCTAGAGACCAAGTTCCAGGACAGCCAGAGCTATTACACTGAGAAACCCTACTTCAGAAAACAAAAATAAAATTAAAAAAATGACACTTCGCATAGGTCCTACATATTCAGGGTATAGATAAAATGCCTTATCATATCGTTCAATGGACTTCTTTCACAGCTCTGAGCAAATCTCTCACATGAGTACTGACTTAGCACCCATCATTCCTTCTTAAAGTCCTCTATAAACATGGTCCTTTTGTCTATGATTTTGATAGCTCTCACTCTGTATCCAGGCTGTCTCCAACTTAAGTCTTCCGGCCTTACTCTCCTCAATGCTAGAATTACAAGTGTGTAGTCCCCCAAGCCACACCTCTCATCAATCTTGGCACTGTACTCCCAAGGCCAAGGTGGTCAGTTAAGTCCACTAGCTATGTTACACCAGACTTTTCTCTGGATGGAGGAAAATTCTACCTTCCTCATTCTACTGAAATACCACAAAAAGTGGAATACCCTGGAACAAAGTTTTGGAAAAGTAGAAAAATTTTATCTTTATCCCAGTCCTAAGAAATTCCTAGGAGATCTGGACACAATGGACTCTGCTGACCCCTAACCTCTGGGACGACAATGAAGCTGTAACAGCTGCATGGCCACATCACCTGTCAACAAACATACAACTAAGGCGTGGCCAAGGAGGAGACTTGTAAGTTATGCATACGCTGGAGTCAGACATAACCTAGCACTCACCAGCATATGATGCTAAACAAGAAACTCTTATTCTTTCATAGCTACATCACAGGGGACTAAAGAGGGTTAGCTGAAGGGACACAAACCACTTAGCCCAGCAAGCAGAGAGTAGAATAAAGGACAGATGTCACCAGAAACATGAGTTACTCATTCTTGGCAAACTATTTTAATTTGTAACGTTAAATATGAAGTCTGCAATTTCTTGAACTTCTCACCTTGCTCCTGTAGAGAAAGAAAAGTAGGTAAATTTTAAGGACTATTACATATATTGATCCAAATCCATAATCTTATTTATCCAATTAGTCTAGTTTTTTTTTTTTGAGCTCTGACTGAACAGCCTTTCTAGTCTAGTCATTAAAGTGTTAATTCAATCTTCCCACTTGAACAATGAGAGTAGGGCATGGTTTTACAGCTACATACCATAAACTCTAACTAACCCTGTATTCATGGAACAGAACAGGACTGGTTTCTTTTGGGGTTTTGCTTTTGTTTTTTTTTGTTTCTGTTTTAGAGGCAGGGTTTCCCTGTATAGCCCTGAACCTTGTAGACCAGGCTGGCCTTGAACTCAGAGATTCACTGCCTCTGCCTGGAAGCTTGCACCACCACTGCCATACTGCTTGTTTTTGAGGCAGGGTCTTACCTAGCTCAAGCTAGCCCCAACTTACTCTATAGTGTTATCCAATCCCTATCTGACCCACCTCCCAAATGCTGGAGTCCCGGGAACAGATCAGGAAGCCTGGGTTCTGTTTCACTGCACTTTATTTTGCGCTGGCAATGGAACCCAGGGTCTTTATTCAATGGGTGGACAGCACCCCAAACTGTTACCTAACTTTAAAAGACTTCGTTTTTATGATATGATGGACAGAAGACAATGAAGGGGGTGCAGGCCAGCAAGTGGGAAAATGCTTGGGCGGAGATTAGACAGGGCCCAGTGGCTGTTAGGACATGCTTGTTAACACAAAACAAGTCAGTTTAAAAACAAGACTTTAGGGCATACCTACCTGCACAGAGTGAGTTTATCCTTTTTCAGTCCTCATCATCAGGAGGGATCCCCAGTTCTTCATCTGTCCACTGTGAAGGGTCTGGATATGAAAAGTGGCCCTGGTGACAACCAGTCAGGAGCAAACAGAGTTTACATTAATAACTGCAGCTAATAAGTTCTGAAATAGCCCTGGAAGAGGAAACAGTGCAGTGACTACTATAACCAGCACCTGCCATACATGAGCGCTGAGTCCCCCTTAGCCGTCCAATGCCTTATACCACCTCACCCCACTCGGCACACACACGGCTTCAACGTTTTAGAGGTGGCAGCCTAAGCCATGGTGTTTAGGAGGGTCAGGAAGAAGGGAAGGCCACAGATTTCATATGCATCCTCATCTCAGCAAAATCCCACAGCCCTGGTTAAAACACAAAAACGTCTCGAAACCCTTCTCCTACTGTGAGACTTAGGAGCCTCAAGTGGAGGCAATCTGGAGACCTATCTAGCTGCAATATCATCTGCTACCTCCAGCCTAATACTCCTGATGACCGAA